TATATATATATATATATAAAGGGAAGTCGAGACTGTTGAGTAAATACAGGGGTGATTTTATTTTCTGTACTGTTTTTGTAAACATATTTCTGAATGTAATTATAATTTAAAACAAGTTATGACTATATTATTATAATATTAACTGATATATTGGGCTCTAATTTCGACTAAGAAAAGACTATGTTCAATATAACCCAGATGAAATAAGTACATTTTATTCATTTATTTTTAACCAGGCAAGTCCCATTGAGGTTGGAAACCTGTTTTCAGATTAAATTAAAATAAGAAAGCTTTAATAAAACTTAATAAAACTAAACAAAACAGAAATAAGACTAGAGTAAGTAAAAAAAATACAAACCGGTGCGACAACTACTAGTGCTCTTGTGTGCTGATACATGTTGGTTTACTTTTTATTTTTAATCATCCACTTGACCTGCTGGAACTCTACTCCACACCCTGCCAATGGAGGGAAAACATCTTCCCTCTTTAAAATAAAGACTGAATTCTGCCAGAAATACCAGTTTTATCCTCAGTCTGTCTTTATATCAGCAATATTGTGATAATAGTCTACAAACATATTCTTCTACTTGACTCCTTAATTAATTTCCTGCCGAGCACCACATCCTCTGGTAGAGATTAGCGGTATTGATTTTGCTCCTACCTGCAGCCACGTGGACAGAAAGTAAAGAGTGACTCATGTTGAGGCTCCACATGTGCAAACTGTGAACGGCCACGACTCCTCTCACAGACAGCAGCAGCTCTCTCACAGTGCCGAAGTCAAAGCCCTGAGGAGTGCCTGCACAAAACAAAACCACTCAGTCAGTGTCGGGAAAATAAACTGCACACAATAAAACAAAGTCACCGCAGCATTGTTTACCTTCCATCAGTATTCTGAAAACATCCTTTGTGACGGGGAGCGTTGTTCCAAGGACGAGAACCGAGAACAGAAACGTGCATATTGGATCTGCTACTTTATATTCAGGCTGTCAGGGATAAAGAAATATTATTAAAAAATAATAATAATAATAAGCAGTCTGCAACAACTGCACTCTTACTTATGTTTAGTCATCGACTCACACTTCTCTTCTTATAACTAAATGTTTAAAGGATATTGTTATTCTATACTTAGTCCACAAACACCATGAACAAAACACCAACCAATGCACTTTCTGACTCATTTCTTATTATAGATGTACAAACAGCTCACTAATATATAGTTTCATATTAAAAAAAAGACTGAATTATTTCCTTAAACAGCTGGGAACTGTAGTTTTTAAGCAAACGTCAATCAAACAGAAGGAAATATCGTCTTTGTTGGGGACTATTTTCAGCTGTGGATCAACACACATTTAGTAATCTAGTTTCCACAGGTGCCAAATTACCAACATTGTGGTAAGTAGTGTGCAATGAGAGACAGGAAGCAGCTCTTTTATTCCTTTAATGACAGTGGACAAGAACTCAGATACACTATAGGCTATATTCTCTGTTTTTATACATACGTTAACAGGCCCAGTTACCTCAGAGCCACTGAAAACCACTGAGAACCACTGCAGTGAATATTTACAGCAGGAGGATGTTGGATGTGAGATTGACTCTTAATAAACAAAAGTGTGTGTTCATGTTAGAAGGAACATGTGGTTCACTGATGTGTTTTTAATAGTTTCTGAACAGTGTAGCTTTATGGCACGGAGGAATGAGGTTTACAAGATAATACTTGTTAGTGGACCAATTCACTGGTGGGTTTCATTGGATTTGTTGGTAACAAGACATTTTGCAGCCACGATTGCATCCTGAGTGGTTTCCTGTAGTGTTGTAATGTCTCTGTTTGAGGTGTTTTCAGCTCTGAATTAAGACTCTTCATTTAGTATATTAATTAATTATTGACCTTAGAAATAGTAGTTTCCTGACATGTCACACTTCCTGAAAAGTCTCTTCATACCACACAGCGGATCAAGGAATAGAGCTGGAATGAACTAAATACATTTTTACTAAATGCCGCCCTACAAAAAACTGAACAAAACAAAAACCTTTAACCTGTCACTTTGTACTATGAGCAAGTATTTATGGTCATCCATAAATAATGTGTGGTTAAGTGATTGATTGACCAGAGGTCAAGAAATATGAAACATTTTAGTAGAGTTTAGTCGAGTTTCAAAAACAATACGCACCCGGGATTACGCTGGGGATCTGAGTGATGTCCTAAGATAACTTCTGTTATGAATTGGCGCTATACAAATAAAATTGAATTGAATTGAATTGAATTGAATTGAAGGGCTAAAATACAATTAAGAGCACGTTTCAAAGCCAACAACAAAACATAGATTATTTCCAGGATGTTTTGTTATATTAATAAAATCTGGAAAACTAGACTCTAAATTTCCAGGTTTTGGGCATGTCAGCATGCCGACGTCAGCATTTAGCTAAAAGCACTGCCTCACAGACCGTTGGTGAGATGTTGACACTGACCCGGAAGTGGATGATGGTGGCAGCCAGCAGGACTCCGACACTTTGCACCAGATCTCCCACCACGTGGATGAAAGCCGCCTTCACACTGGCGTTGCCGTGATGATGGTGGCCGTGCCCCTGCCGCTGTTTGTCCCTCTGCCGCCGGCTGGTGGGAAAGCTGTGACTGTGGCCGTGTGAGGCACCAGACTGATGGAGGATCAGGACCATGCTAAAACCAAACTAAGTTTTCAGAAGAGCGTATGATGCAGCAAACAAAAATAATCTCAACACTGAGCTTGTGATACTCACAGGATGTTGACGCCCACAGCGCAGCCGGAGGTTATGAGCATTATCTGACTGTCGATGTCATAGTCTCCATCAGTGATCCTCTGTATGGCGGATATGACCAACACCGCTGTCACAGCCCAGATAGACACAACTGACAGCAACATGCCCAGAATCTCTGTTTAACACAACATGAGGGAGTCACACAGAACACAGGACAATTCTAAATGAAAGAGAATAAGTCAGTGTTTCTCAAAGGGGGTAATTGTACACATAGGAGTACTTTAGAGTAATGCAGGGGGTACTTGGGATTCAAACTACAACAAATTCAATAAAAACTGAAAATGTAAGTTTGATAAACTACATTTTAGATTTAATATATTTTGAGTGCAATCGTTAACTGCTTCCTGATGACAGTAGGTAAGTGTCAGAAGCAGTCTGGAAGAGAAATTGAACACTAGCTGACCGCCCACCGCAGAGAAAGATCCTCAGAAAAGCACGAGCTTGTGTTTCTCACAAAATTTTAAGTGTAATTTGTCAAAAAGACGCAGTTCAATGCAACTACAATGCCACCTTATTGCTGCTATGATGACAAAACTCTGGTTTGTAATGAATTTAGTAATAATTTCTAAACTTTTATCACAAGATTGCTGTTTAATAAATGAGACACTGATGGTGCAGCGCTGTATTGTATCTCTTCATATTGGCTTTTTTTTCTCCTACCAAACATGTTTTGCACTGGTCAGAAGGTATGTTACTGAATAAAGTCTGAGAACCACTGAATTAAGTCATTTATATAAAGATAATAATAGTATAAATACTGATAAACTATAGCCATAATACAACTTTCTAAAAGCAGACTGTAGTCTAATTGATTGGAACGAAAACCAAAAATAATCACGTACAAATTGGTGGTAAAGAAATCCTAAGATCCACAGTAGTTATTGATCCAGTGGATTGAGGCTGGATGTTTTAAAGGGGTACTTCAACATTTTTCTCACCTGCTCGATGCCATCCAAAGGTCATGGTGTGTGTCTGAGGCCTGGATGAGATCCACAGAGAGAAGAGGCTGATCACGATGCTGCCAAAGTCAGTCAGAAGATGTGCTGCATCCGTCATGATGGCCAGACTGCGAGCAGCGTAACCACCTGCAGAGACGATAGAAATAATCCCTGTGCACTGTCAACAGGAGGAGGGGAAGTTGATCCTCTGTTTGGAGTAAAAAGTTCAATATAAAATGTAGTGTAGAAACTGGTCATTCTTAATTAAAGCTAAAGTATTTAAAAATTGCACATTACTGTACAAACATTAGTGTCTACCTGCCAAAGTAATGCACACAGAATAATATGATTTGTGGTGAAATCATGTTATGATGACGCGTTTTCATCTCACCTATCACCTCTCCGGTCATGAAGATGAGGCTGATGGCGCAGGCGACAAAAAGTTTCCTTCTGGCCAAACGTCTCTCGTCGCTTTCAGCTCCCGACATCGTATCTGTCTCCTGGCAGAGCCGCTCGGGCTGCCACAGGCCGTCCACGCTGGAGGCGTCGTCGCTCCACTCTGACGCAGAGTCTGAACACGTTTCCTCTGGAGAACTCGTCCTGAGAGAAGACAGAACTGTGACTGGTTTCCTCACAAACTCTTATTAAATGTGAGTTAAAATGAGAGGATAAGAAGAATAAAAACATACCATCTAACAGGCTCCAAATGAGTCTCAATCAGCAGTTGTTTCTCTGAATCCGTTACCTCCATATTCTCAGACGACTCCACCTCAGGGACTTTAAGTTTAACTAGTGTTAAAGTGAATCTTGCCACCTGCTCACACACACGTGTTATCTGACAGAGGTGGAGCACAACAGGAGCCAATGGCAGGTTCCTGAGCTCCCAGGAGCAAACTGCACAAAACTACAAGACAACTTTATTCAGTATCAACCAAGTTTATTTGATCAGACAACCATTTATTGTACAGAAAAAAAAAACAGTTTGTACAAGTTAAAAGAATGAAAAAATAGCTGGGAATGTTGAGATAAAACAAAATATATAATTTTCTGTTTTGATGAAACAATTCAAACCTCAAGAAGAAATTAAAAAAAGTAACTTAATCCCACTAAAACATATTCAGGCACTTTTGTGAAAGTTTTGGCAATTATGATATATATAAAACTGACTGAATTTGACCCATCATAAGTCCGGCAACCCTCGCTCAGCTTTCTCCTTTCCTGTACACAATATTTGTTTTCCCAGGATGGCGAAGTCATCAACTGTGATTGGAGCGCAGAGCAAAAAGGGGCGGGGCTTAGTAAGGGTAAACTGTTTAAGATTGATATAAATACATTGTTTGAATGTCTATGAAAGACGCTCATCCTGCATGAAAAAATAGATTAAATGCTAAAAATGATGCAGATATTCGAATGGATTTGTACAAGAAACAACCCGATGAAGCCCAAACCCAACATTCCTCCACCCAGAACAAGCACAAAATGTAATGTAAACACGATGAAACATGACATAATTTAAGGCGTTATCTTAATATACACTCAAATTCATCGTCATAAAACTTTGAATCAAAAATATATATCTCAGATTTTACATAAAAACACAGTTCCTGTATTGATCACAAACATCACTAATATACATATAACCTCACACACCACAGAGAGATCAATAAATCAAACCAGTAACTTTTCGAGTGAAGCAACTGATGTTGGTTTTAGTGTCAAGTGTGGGAAGAGTGTTTTTCATAAAATATCAGATGATTTTTAAGAGCTTTATCAGTACCTAAATGAATATTCACCGCCTCGTGTTTTTTGTTGAGGTTTAATTCAAATATAGTGAGAGTTACACTGATTCACTTTCTTTAAAAGAGTTAGATGAGAGGATTGATTGCACTCTCATGTCGGTGTGTTTGTTAGTGTGGAGCTGGAGCCAGGAGGCAATTAGCTTAGCTTAGCATAAAGACTGGAAACAGAGGGGAACAGCTAGCCTATCTCCGTCCAGAGTTTTAAAAAAAAACATCTGCCTATATAAAAATATAAAAACTGTTTCATCTGTAGACAAACGTCAGAAAGTGCAGAAGGTTTGTGTCAGAGGTATATATTTTTTGAACCAGGCTAACTCTTTCCTCTGCTGCCAGGCTTTACGCTAAGCTAGGCTAATCACCTCCCGCCTCCAGCTCCAAACTGAATGCAGGATTCGTGTCATACAGGAGTTATTCGTAGGTCCAGTTTCTGACTTGTAAATACTGTTGTAACACTTACAAAACTCCAATATGGTGCCTGAAAATCAAACAAATATGAATCCTTATGTTGCCAAAGTGTTTTGTTCGGGGCGATTAAACCCAACTTTATGAATATGTTGCTCTATTTTTAAATCCACAGACATTTTGAAGACTCACACCGCCAATTTCCTTACCACCAATCACACAACTACTCTAACTTTCAGAAAGAAAGCGAATAAGTGTTTCTCTCAAAATGTCTGTCTGCATTGTTTCATGAATTCTCATTGGGCTACTTACAGGCAGTGGAAACAGTCGACAACTAAACATTTAAAAACCCACCGTTTGATTTAGTCACAACATGCTGTAGCATCTGAGGAATGTGAATGGAAATCTGCATAATTTCATGAAGCCCTTTACTTTGTTTCTACGTTATGTATCTATGTGCAGAATGACTAAACACCCCGTAAGTCTCCAAGTGGTTGGCCTCAAATGACATTATGTTACATTAAAATTTTTTTTTTTAACATTTCTGACCCAAGAGCCGAAATGTCCGTCGTGGCAGCTTTATGATTTTAAACATGAAGTTGAGACAATAAAGTGCACGTGAAAACGAATTATTCCAGAGCTTTGATCTGCATTGGCTTTGTCATTTGTCACTGCAGTCCAGAAACTGCCCCAATATTCAAAAATAAAACAAGTTTAAAAAATAAATATGAGACTGGATCAAAGACAAATCCCACTGGCACTTAAAAAAACAAAGTATGGCACAATCAAATCGCTGCTTGATTTGCTTAAACAAATACGCCTGAGATGAGTTTTCTGCAAGTCAGCCAGAGTTTGAGGAAAACAGCAACATTCAAATTCATCAGCCGCTCCGACAACGATCGATATGACGTGGTGTTTATTACAGCCCAGACTCCACTCACTCATTTATCAGCTGACTGCTGGGAGGATCAGGGCCCGGAGGTGCCGTTAGTCGCATGAGGCTGAATCACAATCGGTGCGTTCTCACCTGGAGGAGTGAAAAACAGGTTTTTAATGAGGGTTTATATACTTTTATTTGTTTCTCTGCAAAAAAAGCGGCAAAGCAGGGCCGTTTGTTTCAAACATAGGAAGAAAAAGAAGAAGCAAAGCATTATTTTAATATCATAAGAGAAGAATATAGTTAGAGCTGAAATGTAGTTGAAGAGATTCATTGTTTAGGTCATTTATCTTTGTACAATTTCTGTCAGTAGACTGATAAAATAATCAACTACAACTTTTAGTTGTGAGAAATTAATTTAAAAGAATTAGAGAGGTTAGTCGATAATAAAGATCATCGTTAATTACAGCCGTAAACAATGAAACATAAAAACCTTAAAATGGTTAAAATTTTAAAAATAAAACTAATATAGTTCTTGTTGTTGTTGCTCAGTCAGTAACTGCAGCATCAGGCAGTGGTGGAAAGAAACTGTGTACATTTACTTTAAGTACTGTAATTATTTGTATTTCCTGAAACTTTACACTTCTACTAAATCTGAGAGAGAAAATATTATTCTTTTTACTCCACTACAATCATTTAACAGCTGTAGTTAGATTGAAGATCAACATTATACATAAAGGATAATCAGCTAATAAAATATATATATTAGAATTAGGGTAATCTCGACCACAGTAACATGTTGATGCATCTGTAATATTAATCCAATTATAAAATATTACACTCTGTGGGTCATTCTGCTGTCTAATGAGTACTGGAGTATCACAAGTATACACTGTTATATTGCTAGGATTTAAGATAATGAACAAACCCATCCAACAAAATAGAATAATGGTGTAAAGAACCATGTCATAATGGTACAAGAACATAGAAACATTCCTCAAATACATTTGTTTATATATATATTATACAGCATTAAAGAGCAGGAGAATGGACTTCCAATTAAAGAATGTGGGGACAAAAGGTGAATAACACTTTCATATAGCAGAAATATGCCATGGCAGGGACACAGCTGATAGTGAGAGTATCTTTACTGTTTAGCATTTATCGTGTTTTATCGTCTAAGCTGTCAATAGGAATGTCTTTTACTGCAAATCTACCTCCAAATAAAGGAACCTTCAACCTTTTCTTATCAGATAACTACTACTGTTCTTCATATCATTTCAGTACACCACCTTATCAACAGTGACAAGTATAAGCCAGAAAAGTTATTAATAAGCAATAAGGAATGCAGGTTGCAAAGAATAAGCACTTATTGGAAGGTACAATTAAGTAAAACATGTTAGTATGTGATTTGGTAAACACACAGTCTGTGCCAGCGGTGTTAGAAGCTGCCAAACACTGCTTCAAATCTCTGCCTGAGAAGCAAAGCAGCAGTCGGCTGAGGTCCGGTGAACTTTACCTGGAGACGTGAAAACCTCTCCTGAGGCGTCGCTAGGGCTCGGCTGAATAATTATTACATTGCCTCCAGCTGTGAAACAAAATTTAACACTGAGCAAACCCATGTTTCTTCCTTTTTATGTCTTCATGCACATTAAAACTTGGCAAAATGGCTAAAGCAGCTCCAGCTGTTCCTCTTTTAGTCTTTTAAAAGTTATTAAAAAAGTGACGTTAATCAGAGTCTGCACAGGTGTATGTAAACGGGAATATTAATGGAATATTTATTTTCATTAGCCATGTAAACAGCTGAGTAAGGAATATTGTCTTTTTCAGAATAAGAGCAAAAAAACAGAATATTTTGTGCATGTAAACAAACAAGTCAAAACAAAGTCACTGTCAAGGTTAGAAACACACAAAACAGACCAAATACAGAGACCAACATTTGGGCAAGATTTTAAGGAATTGTTCGACATTTGAGAGAGAAACTCACAGCAACTTCTGGTTTTAAGGGGTTATATGATATTATTTCTATTTCTCAGCTGGTTGCTTGCCAACTGTTCTCTGTGGGCGGAGACAGACTAGCTTTTCCCTCCATTTCCAGTCTTTATGCTAAGCTAAACTAAGCATAAACCATGCTGCCTGTAACTTTGTATTTAGAAATGAGAGCTGTATCGATCTCCTCATCTAACTCTAAGAACCAATGTAACTAAGAATACTAGTCAAACTATTCCTTTAATCTCCATCAGGTTTAATTACTCACTATGAGACTCTCAACAATAACAATAACAACAACTTGCAACTTAAATTTGTCAGTGTTTGTTAGTGTTATTTCTATAACTAATCACAATATACAGTTAATTCAGTGAAAACTGCGTGTAAACAGCATAAAGTACTTCCTAATTTAGACACTGGATGAGTCTAATGTACAATAATGAGGTTTTCTTGTCATCTTACCACAGAAAACAAACTGAAATGTTTCCGTAAAATGCAAACTGATGAAGATTTTGAGATACTTCCCCAACTAAAAAACCTTTGATCTGAATTCACAACCATCAACTTGACAATGTAACACGTGATCTTCCAGACGTTGGACTGTTTCTTTAAATGCGAGCAGCAGGAAGATATCCTCTTTTTTATTGTCCTCCTTTACAAGCTGAAGTGAATCCAAAAGAACAAAGTCCCTCACCTGCATCTTGCTCTCTGATCTCTGCCTCCAGGTCCTCGGGATCCATGTAGACGAAATGTTCCTCGTCTTCTGAAGGTTTGCACTTCCCACAGCAGCAACAGCAGCAGAAGCAACAGCAGCAGCAGGTGAAAATACTGCAGCACACCACAAGGCCCTGAACACAAAAGAAAGGGGTCAGTTATATGTATATGTGCGTGCTATTTGTAAGCCACAATCCACACCACATCTCACCTTGAACCAACACCTGGACGTGAGGAAGTAGTATTTGGCGCCCTCTTCCCCAAACTGCTCCGCGGCGTAGAGGCCCATGGACCCGTACTCATCGTAGATCTTCCGTTTGTTCTCGTCATTGAGGATGGAGTTGGCGTTGTTGATCTCCTTGAATTTCTCAGCAGCTTCTGGGTTGTCCGGGTTCTTGTCGGGGTGATGCCGTAACGCCAGTTTCCTGAAAAACAAATGAGTCCGAAATTACGCAACCGTCTCAGCATTGAGTGTTTTTAAAGGACTGCCGTCATCCACAACAACAATATCACACAAGAGTCGTACATCGGGGGAATTCAGATCCCTTTTTATGTACAAACAATAAATGTATAAATGCCAATATCAGTACATAAATGCTACAATATTTTACAGAAATATGTAATTTGTATAAATGCATAGACTGGAAAACAGGATTACGACACAGAATGTTAGTCAAACCTTTTGGTGTGACATTAATAACTTGAACTAATTGATCCTCAACTTAAATTGAACATCAAATTCATATTTGGCTTTTT